CTTTTCTCATCTCTGGTATCGGTTTAAAACTATACCTACCCAGTTATCAATGTAATTAAAAAAAATTTATCTTAGATAAAGAAATTGGGGTCCGGCTAATTCAAATGTTGACATTAAAAATAGATTCACAATTTTTTTATATTTTTAGTTAAGTACAGAACGCACTTATGTCCGCGAATTGGCTGAAATCATTCATCACTATATTCAACCATTAGAGGCTCTTGAATTTACTAGCAACAATGGAATAGCTAATTCACATAATAATAACAGTCTACCAGGACAGTCAAATATACTTTTTGGAAATATTCGAGAATTGGTAAAAAAGATTTTTAGTGAGGGGGAGATTCTTGGGGTTTCGGGGTTTTTGGTTCAAGATTCGGGGTTTCGACTTGAGATTATTATAAAATTGTTTACCCTCCGTGGAAGTTTTCCAAGTCCCCCTTCCCCTTCCATATAACTAGGGACAGCCAAAACATGCAAAGTTCGGAGTTAGAGTCCCTTTCCTTTTCCTCTCATTTATATTGTTGTATCCTCAGGCATTTATTTTCTTCTTCATTTATTTCCCTCATGTTGGGAAGAAAAAAGGAAAGGGACTCTAACTCCGAAGTTTGCATGTTTTGGCTGTCCCTACATATAACGCTCCAAAATTTGTCTGTTCGCTAGAAAGAAAATTTTTGTGCCTAAGGTCTAAAAATTACTTAAAGTAAACAGTAGGGTAGGACGAGACCGTTTAATTCGAGGTTTATTTTTCCCTGTGGCGGACTTTTTCCTTCTCTCTTCTCTTTTTGACCCGCCCCAGGGAACAATAATCGAGGTTTCTAAACGGTCTCGTCCTACCCTAGTAAACAAATGAAAAGCACGAAAAAAATTGAAAAGTTGCCCGATGGCACCAAAATTTTAGCTCGAGTTCTGTTTGGGTTTTTTGGGTTACATGTTTTGGATCTTGTTTTTGGTCATAGACGTCTCCCCCGACCATTCTGTTATTTTTAATTAAATTTAAAAAAAATTTTTACAGCACGATTTTCATCATTCAATACTTCTCCCTTCCCTTCATCAAAATTCAAATTCTGTAGAAGGCGTTTCAACAGTTTTATCATCTCAAAGGCATCGACTTTTATCTCTATATCGTCATTATTGTCGAAATAAACCAATTAGTGAAGAATTAAGAAGAGAACATTTAATTGATCAAAATAAATTTATTTTGGATTGCCAAAGGAGGGCCGGTCATTTACTTCCTCTGTCTGCCTATTTATTGAAGCCTATTCAACGAATTACCGTGAGAATTTATTATTTAATAGGGTCGAATCTAGTTATAAGAAATTCTCTTAGGAATAAAAATTTTTTACCTTATAATGAGTCGTATATTAAATAGAGAGTATTGCTTAGATAGTCCACCCAGTGGTCAACAAAATTTTAAAGAAAGGAGTGAGGGAGGAGCACGGGGAGAGGGGGGTGGTCATTAAAGGAGGGCTGGTCACTTCAAATCACTTGAATAACACTCCGATTCGGTTAATTGAAGATGATCGTTCGGATCCTTTCGCCGAATAACCTTTTGCACTATTTAGCTGAAGGGAAAATATCTTTTAGCTTTATTGTGTTTAGGTTTGCATTAGGGTTGTTCACTACCGGTTATTAATTGGTACCCCCGGTTTTGGTTAATCCAAATTTTAAAAACCCAGTTTTCGGTTTTGAGTTTTAGACAAATACCGGTTTTATTTTGGGGAAATTTTTAATAAAATCGCTCATTTTCACAAATTTCCGGTTTTCAGCTTTTAAAAATTCTAAAAGCGGTTAATTTTAGGCAAAAAATTTCAAAAATTCCGGTTTTAAAACCGGTCGTGAAGTTTGCATGTATCTTATATTGAGATGGTAGAACTTTGAGTATATAATTAATTGGAAACCTTTCATGATGATTAATTAAAACACGAGATCGATGTCCCTAAAAATCTTTAGCTTGATAGTTAGCAGTTATTTTGAACGAGATATCGTCTATTTCCGATTTCCGCCTTTTAATTTTTTTTAATTTTATTTTTTTTCTAGAAATACCAACTTTTATTAAAAGAATTAGTTAGACATTGCCCAACAGCTGGACAATCATTACAACATGTCCAAACAGCCTTAACTTCAATGCTGGAATTATTAGCTCAAATAAATGCTGATATGGAACAATTACATATACTTGGATATCCTGTAGGGAAAATTTTTAATTGGAAAAAATTCTCAAAATTTTTAGGGTGATCTACGCCTTTTGGGCTCTCTCCGCCTTCGAACAGAATGTGACGTTTCTATTTATAAAAGATCAAAGAGTGCAAGTGCTGGAGGTGTAAATGGGGGGAGGAGGAATGGAATTAAAGGAAAACAACAGAGAAGGCATTTGTGAGTGGTTTTTTGGATACAAGAAAAAATTTTTTTTGAAAAAAAATATTTTAAATATTTAAAATTTGGATTGATGAAAAAATAAATTTTCTGTTATGTTTTCTGTTAAATTCAATTCGGTGAATTTAATCAGCATTTCCCGAAAATGTTTTTTGGGAAGTTAGTGGTGTCCTGGCCTGTTTTGTTAATTTGAGGTTTTGTGTCGTTAGGGTATTTTGTCAGGGAATCAGAGCTGTTTCGAAATTTCGATTTTCGTTTTTCGATTTTCGAGGTTTTTTTCCTTTCGATTTTCGATTTCCGATTTTCGAAGATTTTTTTGTTTCGAAACACCTCTGCAGGGAATAGACTTGAAAGTGTTTCAGCTTTTGTTCAGTTTCGAGTCAGTATATCAGGGATCCTGCAGACAAAAAATAAGTTTTAATTTTGGTAATTGAGAGGGCAGGGTCCTTTTGGTCCCTTTTGAGATGGAAAGAAAGAAAAAAAAAATTCAAAAAAAATTTCAAAAAAAAATTTTTTTTCCTTTAATTCAGATTACTTTTTGATGGAGGCATTCTCTTCTGTAAAAAACGTTTACAAACAACAACAACAACCCAACCAGGCTGTGAATATTTTGAACATAAATTTTGTATTCCAATAAATTCTCTCGGTTTTGCTGAATGTTCCCGTTTTTCTGATGAAAAATTTGAAATTTGGGATATTAATGAAAGTGGAAATTCTGCCAGTTGTTTTGCTATACATCCATTAGATGAAAAAGTTAGGCCAAAATGGATACATAAACTTTCCAAATTGACGGTCTTAAATCAACAACAACAACAATTAGTTGAAGCTGCAGCTTTGGGGATGCCTGATTCTTCTTTTTATTTACAACAAAGAGAGGAATATATGAATAATAGGTAGTTTTATTGAATAGAATCTTGTTATGGTGTACGCTAAAGACCGGACCGAGACGAAATCTCAAACAAAAATTTCTGATATTTTTTGAGATATCTCGACGATTTCCGTACGACCTTCTCCGTCCGGTCTTTAGTGTACACCGACTTGGAGTCTGAAAAAATTGTACATTAAATAAGTTGTGTGAATTAAAATATGGGCATCGCTTAGGCATTTCTTCCCAACGGTGACCAACTAACTAAGAAAACCACCAACCACCTTTAAAAACATTTAACTGAGTTGTATGATTAGTGGGTCAATAACGACATGTATGTATTAGGGGATGAAATTAGGGAGCAGGCCAATTTTGCCGTGGAACCATAACTCTTAGAATTGAATCTTTTAGAAAAAGTCTTAGAAATTGAATTACCATCCAACATCCCTCGATGAGTTAAGTCAAGATCCGAGTTTCTTAAGCTTAGCTCTGCAGGAAACTGTGTTATTGTAGTTAGTAGTGTATACCGTTTCTATGTGTTAGAAATAAAAATTCAAATTACAGAACAAGACCTCAATCTTGGACAACTACCAGCTCTTCTGAAGATGGTATAACAACAATAAATCCACAACAAATTTGCAATAAAAGAAATAAAGGAAATAATAATAGTGCAGCACAATCAAGTCGTTCTTCTACTTCTTCCTCTTCTGGTTAATATTTTTTTTCAAAAAAATATTTCAAAAAAATTTTTTTTCTTAAGCAGTTATCTTTGGAGATACAAGCCCAACAGGAGAAGATTTGAACGAGACCGAAATAACTTTTAGACGGCATTCAGACTCCTCCTCGTCTAGTAATTCTTCTAGAAAGAACGAGCTTTTACCTAGAAGTCAATCACAACCACCAGAATTTTTACAACTTGAAGAAATTAATAATACTAACGGTGGTGGGATGCAGAGAATTGATAGATTATAAATTAATTAAATAAAGAAATATTAGATATACATACTAACTCTACCTATTTATTTTTCTCTGTTTTCTTTGCATTATTTTAGATTATATATTACAACTTTCCGGAAGGCATACACAATCTTTCCGGAATTTATATTTTTGTTGGTGATTTTTCTATTTATTTTCCGGAAAGTTTTTCCGGAATTTCCGGAAAATTAAATAAAATAATTTCCGGAAACTTCTAAAAGTTCCGGAAAGTTGGATAATTTCCGGAAAGTTTTTCCGGAACTTAAATAAAATAGAATTATTTTCCGGATTTTATTTACTTTTCCGGAAAGTTTTCCCATAAAAGTTAGAGAAAACAATTTCCGGAAACTTCTGACGTTCCGGAAAGCTAAATTGGATCAGGAATTATTTTCCGGAAAATTAAACAAAATCCGGATTTATTTGTGAGTTGTCAGGAAATTATTTTCCGGAATTTTCCGGATAAATTAAATAATTTCCGGAAACACATAAAATCCGGAAAATATTATATTTATTCACAGAAGGAAGATTAAAATCTCCCACCATAAATTAATTTGTCTATTGTATATTTAACACATATTTTAATTACACAATTTTATAAATATCGAACTCACTAACTAAAAATTATTTTATATTTTTTGTCGTTGTATTTTAATGCTAAATAATTTTATTTAACTAAAATAAAAATAAAGAGATCGATTTTGAATATTTTTTAAAAATTTTCCGGATCAATCGGAAATTTGCCTCACCGAAAAAAATACTATAAAAGCCCATCAAAATGAAACCCTTTCCCATTCTCCAACTCCAAAAAATCCAAAAACCCCAACAAAAACAATCTTCAAACTTCTACAACAACAATGAGTGCTCCACCTCCTGAACCACCAAAGAAGGACGCTGCACCGCCACCACCTGCTGCTGCTCCGCCGCCGCCAGCTGCTGCTCCACCTGCTGCACCGCCTGCTCCGCCGCCGTCAGATCCGGCTCCACCGCCGCCTCGTGCACCGAGCGAAGTGTCTTCCAAGAAGAAAGGAGGGAAAGGAAAGGCTTCTGCTGCTTCTGGAGGAGGAGGCGGAGGAGGTTCTCTGTCTCAGCCGCCATCGTCTTCTCCAAGTGGTGCTTCCAAGGGGTCAGCAGCTCTTCGACAAGTTGAAGTTCAAACCTTCAGCGACATTCGTCCAGCGTTGTTGAAATGGCTTGAGGGTCAGGATAAGCTGTTCGGGGCTGCTGAGAAGAATTCGGGACTTGAGCGGGAAAAGGTGAGAGAGAATTTTTTTTTGATTGAAGGCTGTTAATTGACCTAATCTTTTCCTTTCTTTTTGCAGATTTTCTATGGTATTTGTGGCATTCTCACGCTCTGGTTGATTGCTGGTCCTGGTGCTGGTTTCATCTGCAACTTGATTGGCGTCGCTTATCCTGTCTATGCTTCAATTCTGGCTTTGCGTTCGGGAGGGAAAGGTTTCTGAGAGAAAACCCATTCAAAACCACCACAAAACATTCTTCATTTTTTTCAGATGATGACACTCAGTGGCTCGTCTATTGGACCACCTACGGGACGCTGTCAATGTTGGATTTCTTCGCCGATCGCATCTGCGCCTACTTTCCTCTGTTTTGGCCTCTTAAAGCAATCTTCCTTCTCTACTTGGCGCTGCCTCAAACGCTTGGAGCCCACAATATCTACGTTAAGTATTTGGATCCGGCGTTTGACAAGCTGGCGAAGTGAGTTTTAGAAAAAAATTTTAAGTGACATTTGATCCCAAAAAAATTTTTTTTCAAATTTTTTTCAATTTTTAGACGTGCGGCAGCCCTGTAGGAGCGTGGTGGACGTTGAAAGAAATTAGAGAAGAGGAAAGATAAATAAAAGAAAATATATATTTTGTTTTGTAGGTGTATAAATATAAAATTATTGTCCCCTCATTTATTTGTAAAATATAAATAGTCCTCTTATCTATCGAGTGTATATGTTGTATTGTTGTAAATAAAATGTTTTGAAAAATTGTTTTTGAGTTTTCTTTGAATTTTATCTGACATAAGCTTTAGGTTTTCTAAGTTTTAGAAAAAAAATTTTAGATGACATTTGATCCCAAAACTCTTACACTTGGCGGTGAACTGTCCTTTTCGGTCCTTAAAAACTCCAAAATGACATTAGAGTCTAAAAGTATTGAATAGGATTAGTTAAGGATAGGGTCGAATAAGCCCTCTAACAATAAATCGAATCTCAATACCATAAGGTCAAAGAAATAGTATAGAGAGTACGTTGAATCGAGTGGTCGCCATGCCAAGATTCTAATTTGACTTTTTTTAGCTTGAGTTAAAAATCCGAAAATTATCTTCATTTAAAAATCCAACAGATCAAAAACTTAGAAAAATAAAGAAATTTGAGAGGAAAAATTCTTGCTTCTCTCGAGGAGTCCCCCTTTTAGTACTCTAAGAGCAAACGGAAGAGAAAAAGGTTATAGTCTCCCAATCAATAAATAAACACATATGTACACATTTTGTCAGTTAAATGTAAAAGAGGAGTATTGTCGACCCCTCAAAGCAACAGAAAAAGAAAAAGAAAAGGACCCCCTTTCTTTTTGCACACAAATAAATGTTACTAAATCTGTCGCCTTTAAAAAAATTTTTTTTCCATTGCTTTAACCAACACGCACACAAAATAATTAGTGCATTGTTTAAAATGAGAATTTACGTGGAGAGAAGAAATTTTATTCTCTCAACAATTTTATTCTTTTTTTATTTACAATTTTTACCAAAATCGCGCAAAAGCTTTTTAAAGCTTTTTGGTTAAAAGCCTTTCCCAACTTTTCTCCCCCTCATTTTATTTTTCGTTTTCCTCAAAAATTTTCTATTTTCCCTCAATAAAAGTTGAGACTCAAATGGCACTGTCGAAAAATTCTAATTTTTATTTTTAAAGCCGTTTTGTCGCCAAAACTTTGTCACACGTTTCTTTAGATACTTGTAGGTTTCCAAAGTAAGAACGAACAAGTTTCTGCGGGCATACATATTTATTCGAGTTTCACCGAAAGTTCCGTTTCCGGAACGTTCTGGCATTTTTTTGATTCCGGTTCCGGGATTCGGAACTCAAATTGGATCCGGTTCCGGGCAAAACTCCGGTTCCGGTGAAACATTAATATTTATGCGGGCTCATAATGGTCAGATAAAAAATGTGAACTTCCAATATTTCTCTCAAGCCTCGCGACAAAACGACCGTTACGAAAAAAAATTTTACTTTTGATTTAAAATTTTCAATTTTTAATTGTTACAACCCATAAAAGCCTTTTTATTGTCTCGATTTATATTTTCCTTTTATTTAAAAAGAAAAGACGAGAGAAGAAAGAAAAGAAAAGCTTGTCTTTAAACCAAAATTTTTTTATTGAGGATAGTTTTCACTATTTTTATAAATGGAAGCATTCCGGCACTATAAAAACACATTTATTTTGCTTCTCCTTTCTCTTCTCTTTTCTCTTGTGCAACAGAAAAGATATAGAAACGGACAAAACAAAAATATTTTTAAGGGGGAGAGCCCTTCTTCTTCCATTTTTCTCTTTCATCTTCTGTTCTGTCATTCATTTATAAAATATCTCAGTCCAGTCAAAACGGACATTTTGTCTCGCCCAGAGGGCAATAGTAAAAAGGGAAAGCTCTTTGTGTAAAAGGCTTCTGAAAGGCAAATGACGGCACAGCTGGACAATCCTTCCTTTCCCCAAACATTCTTTTTTGGCCATTTTAATCGATTCCCTATTTAAGAGAGAATCTCTATATTTTTTCTGTTCCGGCTTCTTATTTATTGCAAAAATATTTTTCCTTCTTCAAATATAAATCTTTAACTAAAAACAACGAGAATATTTGTGTATTGCAGCAATTTGGACGTTTTTTGTGACCAAATATGGGTAGGTTAATAGGGTAAATAAATACAATTAATAGAAAAATTATTTAAAAATAATGAAAAAATGAGAAAATAAGTTTAAATGGTTGAAACAGATCCGAAAAACAGATTTTGTGGATTTATTGAAGTTAGACCCTTCGATCGCTAGTTGCTTAGGTGGTAGAAGCATAATTTAATTGTATTTAGTCAATTTTTACTAATTGTAAGTTAACAGTAATTGTGGCTCAGTGGATGTGTGTTAGTCTCGTAGGAGGGATAGGTCTGGGTTCGAATCCCTTTATTTTTGAATAATTTAATAAAGCCTCAAAATAGTTAATTTTTATTTCTAAATAATTTTTTCTAGGCAAAAAATGTCAAATTTGCAAAAAGAAATGCTCTGGAGACATTGTTCGTGCTGACGGAGAGAAATATTTTCATATAAATTGTTTCGCGTGCAAAAGTTTGCTTTTTTAAATTTTTAACAGAAAAGTTTCAAAAAATTCCTTTAAAGCTTGTGGTCGTTCTCTTTCTGAGGCGGGGTTTTATGTAAACCCGGATGGCTCTTATGTATGTCCAGAACATGTCCAACAACCGCAAAGGCCTCCATCCGCCGACAACGCCCAGCAAACACCAAAAAAGTCAAAGAAAGGTTTGGGGCTATTCAAAAGAGGATCTTCCAGAGATTCGAAGGATTATTCTCGGCCACTCAGTGTAGATTCTAATATAGCAACACTTTCAAGAAATTCAATGATTGCTACGTCACAAGGGTCTCCTGTAGCTGCCGCAAGTTTGTTTTTTTTCTCTAATTTTAAATCTGGGAGGTTTTCTTAGGTTTCTGGGATTTTCCTTAGTAATTCCAATAGGTAAAATTCTAAGGAAATAACCTATAGGAAAGCTTTTTAGCTTTATTTTTAACTAGAGTTGGACAAAGCCGGTTATTAACTAGTCCCCCCGGTTAACGGTTTACCGGGTTTCTATAGACCCGTATACCGTAACCGGTTAATTTCGCAGAAACACCCGGTCAACGTAGCCGTAAACGGTTAATCGGTTTTGTCCAACTTTATTTTTAACTACAAGCCTGTTTTAACTTATTGAGAGAATATTTTTTATTTGTTGAATTTTTTAGGGGTTTAAAATTACTGGATACCTCCCTCAATTTTTTAAACATTTCTTCACTGGTTTGATTATTCTTGAGAATGGAGGAACGGCTTTCTGTTTTTCAAAAAAATTTTTTTTCAATTCCTCTGGGATTTACTGATTATCTATTTTTGTTTTTTTCAAGCCTGTGCCGGTTGCGGAGACCACCTCCAATCAGGACAAATACTTTTGGCAATGGGGCATAGTTGGCATGTTTGGTGTTTTAAATGTGCAGAGTGCGCGGCTGTTCTCCAAGGGGAATATATGGCTTATGGTGGGAGGCCTTTGTGTTTGAGGGATTATGACAGAATAGCGTTTGTTTTTTAGTTACTTTTTGGTATTTATTGATAATTTAAAAATAAATTTTTTTGCTTGGGGGTTGAGACATGTACCGAAAATTTTTGTTTATTAGGCTCTAACTATGGTTAGGAACAGAGATCGACCTGAACTCTGTTCAGACCTGAATCGTCTGAACCAAGGCCTGGGTTTTTCCTGTAGACAAAGTCCATGCCCAGGCATTTTTTGACCTTCCTGGGGTTTTTCCTTGGTCTGGGTTTTTCCTGGACTACAGGCCCAGGTCAATAAATCAAACCCAAGAACAGACACAGACTTTTCAAAAATCTCGATCTCTAGTTAGAGCATCCAAACTTTTTTTGGCTCCTGATATCCTTGTCACAATTAGTTCCAATTTTAAGTTTACTTATTTTTCCTTTTACGTGGGACTCTGCTGGAATAAAAGCTAATATCCAACTGCAAATTTCGAGGGGTATAAGATAACCCAAAATATTCAACTCATGTTATTCACTCAAGCGGCAGAAAATTTATCTGTCTCGAACTAAGGACTAAAAATTTTTTAATTTTGACTTAAAAGATAATTTTTTAAATTTTTCTAGAGGAGTAAAATGCTGTGAATGTGATCGCTTTATCGCTGGAAAAGTTTTGGAGGTTTTTCTCTTTCCAAATTATTTTAAAAATTTTTTTTAAATTAAAGGCTGGCGGTTATAAATTTCACCCAACCTGTGCTAGATGTTCACGTTGTCAACTTCCGTTTGAAGAAGGGGCAGAAATATATATGCAAGGAAATGAAATTTGGCATCCAAATTGTGAACATTATTTAACTACTGAAAATATCGCGGTAAATAGTTTTTGAAATTTTTTGAGAAATTTCTGAAATTTTTGACAATTTTGAAAATTTTGGAAAACTTTTCGGAAATTTTTTTTGAAATTTTTAATTATTTTTCATAAATTTTTAGGTCTCAAAATCGCCATCAAAGGGTACTAAATTCCAACCACATTTTGGTCAGCATTTGACTTACATGTAAGAAATTAAAAATAAAAATCTACAGGGTGCGGCAAATTTTCCGCCCCTTTTGTTTTGTTTTTAACTCGGTTCAAACTTAACAAAACTTAATAATTCTTTTTTTATTTTGTTCACAACTCTCTGAGAAAATTTTTGGTACCAAAAAGAAGAAATTTAGTTCACAAATAGTAAAGTTAAGCCGGTCCAAACATAAAAATGCATCAAAAAACATTTTTTCTTGCCAAATTTGAATTAATCATAACTTCGTCCAAAATCTTTCAAACCGAATGATTTTTGCACTAATCGACTTATCTCGTTCAGGCGCATCGAAATAGCTTATAATTTCATTTTGAAAATTTTACCTAAAAATTTTATTTTTACCAAAATTATTTTAATTTATCATTCAGAGGACCATATCTCATTAGATTTTTGTCGTAGCCCCCTAATTTTGATGTCATTCGAATCAGATTGAAGAGCTGATTCGAATGATATAAACATTTCCAATAGCAAAGTCTCAGCCTTGAATCTAGGCCAATTTTTATTCAAAAAATTTTGCTCAAACTTTGAGAGAAGTTTGCTAAGAGCAAACTTAAAATTTATTGGTGATTTTGGTACCGAAGATTTTCTCAGAGAGTTGTGAACAAAATAAAAAAAGAATTATTAAATTTTGTTGAGATTGAACCGAGATATGACCAAAACAAAAGGGGCGGAAAATTTGCCGCACCCTGTAGAAAAATTTTGTTAAGTAATATGGCAATTCTTTTTCCCCACAAACCTATTCCTTTCAAAATTTTTATTACAAAAATGAATCGACGAATTACTTAACTGATTATCCATTCTATTTTCCAAATTAAAAAAAATCAAATTTTTTGATCTCAAGAATGTCCGCAATTTAATTTATGATTTGCGGACAAAATTTGCGGACTTTTTAGAAATTCTCAAAAATTTCTAAATTTTTGAATTAAAGATGTCAATAAAAAATCAACTAAAATTTTAGGTATATGTTACCAGAAGCTGAGCAAACTTATTTAAAACATCCCATAGCTCCAAATCCTCCACAACCAACACAATTCCACACTCCACATGGACCGGTAATAAAAATAAGAAAATCGCGTTATTCGATGCTCAAAACTGGAATGCAAAGACTAAGTTGGTTTTTTTAGAAAAATTTTTATAAATAAAAAAAATTTTTTAAAGCTGAGGATTTGGAGAGAACACGTCCTCGTTCGCGCTCCTCTTCTGTAGATAATGAAGAACCTATAGAATTGGCACATTACCCAGGGGCTAAAGTGCCCGATCCTGATCATGTACCGCCAATAGATGTTTGTTGTTTTTTGAATTTTAAATGAATTTTTCTGGGACTTTTCCCTCCAGTTCATGTCTCCGATATTTTGATATAAGATTTTAAAAGATTTGGAATCTCTGAGAAATCGTAGAATTATAAACTTTTTATTCTTCAAATTTTTTCAAGCTAGGAATGTTCATAATTCGGCATTAATTCATTTTGCAACAAAAAACTCCCAATGTCATTTTGGCTTTGGTTTGGAATTAAGTTGGAATTTGTTTTAGGAATTAAGACAGTTAGGTTCAAGTCCTATGTAGGAAAATTAATGTAGGATGTTTGTCTAAACCCGAGTTTAAACTTATGCCGTTACAGTATATTTTCGAGTCTGAAAGTTTTCTAAAATTTCAAAAAGAAATTTTTTTTACCATTTTGAACTCCTTTAAAATAATTTTTTCCAAAAATATCCCTTCTAAATTTTATAGAGAGAAGATTTCCCAGCACCTCCCTACCCTTATGCTGTAGAAGAATTAAAAAGGCGTCTATCCTCCTCTTCAATAGAAAATGATGAAGACGAAGAAGAAGAATTGTTAAATGCCGAAGGAAAAATTTTAAGACAAGAAGAAAGAGTACAAAAACACGTTAAAGCTTTAGACACAATAGACAAAGATTCTTCTATAGCTTACGTAATTAAACAAAATTTGGTTGAACAAACAGAAAGAAAGAGAGGAGGAATTGAACAACAAAGATTACATTGGGACCCGAGAAATGCGAGTAGAACACCTTCAGCGAAGAAAATGCCCCATTTAAAATTTAGATATGATACGCCTATTAATGCTTGTAAGGAGATTTTTTTGAAGAAAATCAGAATTTTTATGAAAATTAGAATTCTGATGGGTAATTGAGAAATCAAAATTTCTATGAAAAATCAGAATAAAAAATTAAAATTTCCGGTGTTCAATTAAAATCAGAATTTTTAAGAAATAATTCTGATTTTCTGACTATTGAATAAACGAAAATTCTGATATTCTATACATCAGAATTCTGATTTGATAAATATTCTAATTTTGGTTTTTGTCTAGGAATTCTGGTGTGTAATTAAAAATCAGAATTTTGTGTTCAGAAAATCAGAATTTTGATCTGTTCTAAAAGATTCAGAATTACGACCTATAAAAATCAGAATTTTTACAAAATCAGAATTCTTGTATAACAAAAATTCAGAATTCATTAAAAATACTAAAATACTGATTAATTAAAAAATTCAGAATTTATTTTCAATAATCACAACTTCAATTCCTTTTTCAGCTCCATCAAGGCATTTAAATCGCCCAAAGCCTTGGATTTTTTGGAAAAATGGTAGCGGGGAGGAGCGTGCAGCAACAACAGCAATTCCAAGTTTTCATTTACCACAAAGCAGGATGTGTACAATGGATGGAAGTGCTAGGGCTGTAACAATGCCTGACGGCTATGGATATTATGCTGGTGGTGGGGGTGGAGCTGATACAACAATTAGCACACATTATTCTGACCGTGAGAAGAAATTTTTTTGTAAAAGAGATAAAGATGGCGCTTGAATGCCCAATTCAGATTCGAATCCCTGATTCTGATTCTTTTGAGAATTTTTAATTAAGATCTCGTCTCGTTCCACTCTCTAATTAAGGCTGATTATGACCCTAGGCTGTACTATATTGATTTCCTCTGGATAGTCCGTCTTTTCTCCTGACATCCAGAATTTTTTCGCCAGACTTATCCTCACCAATTGACCATACCACCTAGTTGCTCTATTATTAATCAACTAAAATTTTTAAATAAAATTTGCCTCTCAACAGATTCTCTCGATATGTCAGCTGCAGTAGGTGGTGCTACTGCCAGTCCCGCTTATCTACGCAGTTCATTACCAGATATGTCAAAGCCAGTAAAAATATACCCATTAGAGCATTTACAAACTACAAATAAACAATTGCCTGAAGACGTGAGGAAAAAATTTTTTTCTGAATAAAAAAAATTTTTTTATTCATTTTTAGGTGGATCGCCAGCATTTGGAACGCCATTTGGGTAGGGATGAATTTGACAAATGTTTTGGTATGACACCGATAGAGTTTTACAAATTACCAGAATGGAAACGTATAAACCTTAAAAGAAAGCACAAACTTTTTTGAAAAGAGAAATTCTGATTTTCTAAAGTTCTGATTTTTTTCGGCCCATTTTTCTGGTCTTTTTCATGAGCCAAAATTTTTAATAGAAATCAAAAAAATTTAATAGTACATTCGAGTCTCTATCTCTTTCCGAATCTTTTTAATTTATCAAAATTCCCCACTTATCACGGCATATTTTTAATTTATCTTCGCTCTCGTTTATCCCAATCTCTTATCCCAGGCGTGTTTTCTTCTCCCTGGTTTTCATCCTAGACGTATCCCTCACACTTTCTGATTTATCCTCTGCTAATATCCCATCAAGCCAATCACAAGGATAGAGATTCCAAATGTATTCTAATCTAAACTAATAATTAAAATTAATTTTTTAAAATATTTTCCCCGTTCATTTTTCCCTTTTTCTAAACGGGGAGTATAACAAAATCACCGTCCAATCATATTTTTATATAGCTTTGTTTGCCCAAAATCAAAAATATAGTGGAACTTTTACCGAGATTATTTTCGGCCCCTCATAGGAAGGAGGGTATTGTCAAATCGTTAAAAAAGCTAATCGAAATCCGCATAATTTTTTGCGGAATCCGCATTTTTAAAATTGGCCCTTTTTAGCTCTTTTAATATAAAAATCGTTATGAAGTTCTACTATTTATTTAAAATTTATTTTTGCTTGAGGGTTTTTAATTTGCAATTTTTCTTATTTGATTATTTTGTTTTTTTTGCTTTTTTCCAATAAAAAGATTGCGACAACTAATTTTATTTGCAAGTTAAAAAGTTGATATATGTATTCAAAAAGGTAACTAAAAAAATACTGACAAAAAGAAAGGGGAATTTGATTATAATATCCTGAATTGGGGGCAATCAAATCTAAAAATTTAATTATTTAAAAAAGAACCTTTCAATTTTGTTAATTTTAATTAGAAAAAATTATTTGAAAATAACAAAAATTGAGTTCTATAACACAGGAGTATGGGCCCTGCCGAATTTTAAAAAGCAGAGGAAAGCTAATCCCTATTCTATAACCTTAAAATCACAAAAATTGTTAGGGACCAAAGAAAAAAAAACAAAAAACTTTTTAGACCAAAGTTTTTCTATCCAGGTTAGACTGCATTCTAAAAAAGATAGACAGAATTGAAAGGTTGAAAAAAAAAACTTTTTTATCACAAAATATTATTCACTTATTTGTCTAATCCATATATTTTTAGTAATTATTAAATAACTATAATATATCTAAATGAAAATTTTAAGTGGCAAGAGAAAAAGATAACTAAAAGGGTTGCCGTGAAAGAAATTCTTTGTGGTTATTCATTCAATTCTTGATTTTAATTTTTTTCTGGGTTACCAAAAAAATTTTTTTGTGCCGAAAATTATGATCTAACAGAAAAATCTTTTTAAACAGAAAAAAATTTTTTTGAATTTTTCCTCCCATTTTTTTTTAAATTTCTGCCTAAAAATTCATTTCAATTCCAAAGCAACCCTCTCAATTAATTTAAGGGACTTTGACTAATTTATTATTGCTCTAACTACTAATTTTAAACTAAAGAAATAAATTTTTAGAACCGAGCTGATTAAAAACAATGTTTTTTACTTTACTATTCTAAACACTATAAATCCAAATTTTAATTTGAAGAAAGTGAAAAAAGCAGCAAAACAGGCTGAAAATTAAGAAATTTTTTTAAACTCCCCCATTCCTTACTTTATGATCTCCAATACAATCATCCATTGCAAATGAACGATAAAATTTGTTGCAATTTAAAGAATCATTGTTTAAATGATTTAAAAGATTACAAGCATTATTATTAAATAATATTCTGTCACACCAAGCGGGGGCTCTGAAATTTAAAAAAAAAATTTTTTTTTTGTGAATTTTTGGAAAAAAACAAATTTTTATTTTAGCAGTAGTTTGGAGCCCCCTCCCTAAAAAGAAATTTTCTTACAATAGTGTCAAAAAATAACATCTAAATGAACCCCAGATATGTTTTCTTGACCTCTTCCCTCTTATAAATTCGACTTTTAAATAAGCTTTGTGCATTAGTACAAAAGACTTGGTTAACTAAACTTTGCTTGGGGGTTAGCTTTGGCTTATAGTTTAAGGATGTCACGGGCTGAGAAAAAAAAGTAAGATTTTAGGGTCGAATTTCGAATTAGATTTTCAGAAATTTCCTCGGATTTTAAGTCGAAAAAAGGGTCAGGGTTTTGAGTGATCCGTGATATTCCCGTTGTGGTTTTGAGTAGAGTTGATCAAAACCGGTTAACCGCTCGGTTAATTTTTCCCAATTTTTCCCAGTGGCTGGTCCTTTTCTCATTCTTCTCTTTTTGACCCGCCACAGGGAAAAATTAACCCGGCGGTTAACCGGTTTTGTGCAACTCTAGTTTTGAGGTTGAATTTCTGATTTATTTAAAAGTCTTGGAAAAATTCTCGATCTTGTACATTTCCAAAGTTTTGTCATTAGGGCCAAATCTCATTTTAAATGGAATTTTGTGATCTAATCCTCAAATGTCTGAGGAAAAAACAAAATTTTAACCTTGTTTTCATCAAAGTATTATGATTTCCCGGCTCTTCACTCCATGGATATGTCGGTGGAAATTGTAAAAATAATTCTTTCAATGGAAATTCATTTAATTCACAATCGTCCTTTTTAAAATTAAAAAATAGAAATTATTTTAAAAAAAATTAAAAAAACCTCTCTATAAACTTTCCATTCATCCAAAAGCCATTTTTCATCAAAATATTCAAAGCGTTTTCTACCAACACGTAATACCCAACTTAAAAAAATTAAGATAATTTAAATTAAAAATTTTTGGATCTCAATCCAAGGGCGCAGCCAGAAAGTTGATTTCAGGTGGGGCTACTATGGGGTATGTGTCAGCGCCGCAAGCGAAAATTTTGAGAATTTTGTAGGTTACAGGAGTAAAAAATTCACTTTTCTGATCATTTTCCTCCTAAAATTTTTTTACTTTTCCCATTTCAGGTGAGGGTTATAGCCCCAGAAGCCCTCCGAACTACGCCTTGCCTCGATCCGCAAATTTTAAAAATTGTCCGCAATTTTTAGAAAAAATTCCTGGTAATAGAAAATCTACAGAGACACAATCATTTTATGAGAAAAACAAGTCAAAGGACAACTTATCGGACAAATAATAATTTTAAATAATTATTCTAATAATGACCCCCCAAAAAAATCCAAAGCCTTTGAAAACTCTTCGTAATAATATGATTAGGCAAAAAATTTTCCTGAAGTAGGGTTAACAGTAATAAGCTTAAAAATACTCTTCCTCATGGAACAATTCCCTGACTTTTATTCCTGAATAAATAAATTCTATTCCGTGACAAAGTAAATTCTAATCAAAAACCTCAATCCGCAATTTTCCCAATCTCCCCCTAAAATCAAAGCCTTTGAAAAATATCAGTGGCAGGGAATTTTTTTAAAAGGAAAGCTAACAGTAATAAGTCCAAAAAATAATCATTTCCTGGAACAATACCCTGATTTTTCTAATCTAGACTTTATGTAAATAAATTCAAACGAAAACCAAAATCCGCAATTTTTGTCCGCAAATTTAAAAATTCATTACAACCAATTCCCAATAATCTAAACCCCTTTCCCCATAAAATATAAACAAAAACAAACCTAACATTTCCTCTTTGTCCATCAAAAGGACTCAAATACGACCTCATTAAAGGCTTGTAATACTCTATAATTGAATTTCTTCTTCTAGTCGACGTATTTAAACAAAAATTTGTTTCATTTATTTCATCCATATCATCACAAGAAGTTCTCAATTCATCAGTTTCTGAACTACTGGCTGAAGGATCCGTTGAGGAAGACAAAAATTGATTTTTTGAATTTGTTGAATGTTCCAATAAAGAAATTTCTTCTTCGTCTAAAGTTGATAAATCCGAAGTTGAAGTTGTTGAACTTCTTGAATTTGTTTGTTGTTCAACAATTGGTGGACAGAGCAGAATTTGGCGGTCGTTTGTCTGTCTTGTCAGTTTCTGAAATTTGAAAGTTTTGAACTTCTCGGATTAAAAAGAAAATCCGCAAGTTTTGTCCGCAAAAAAGTTGCAGACAAACTTTGCGGATTTAAACATTTTATATTTTTTTCAAGCCTTTCTAAAGTAAAACAAAATTCTAAAAAACCTTTACAAACGAAGCAAAATCCAATCTAAAATTAAAATCGCCAAAAACAAATAAATTGCTAGCTCCTTCAATTGTACCTCCATTAAATTTTTCAAATTTTTGGAGAACATAATTAAAAGCATTTTTTCTGTTATTGCTGTAAAGGGTTGGATTCTAAAAAATTAGAATTATTACAAAATAAGATAGAGAATGAAAATAATTTAAAGAGAATTAGATAATGTTACGAAATGTTTAAATAGCCAGAGGGCTCCAAAATTCAAAAAATTTACGTTAGGAATACCAAAGTAAACGCCAAAATTTTGGCGCATGCTCCATTTTAGCCCCCTGAAATCGACCCCCTGGCTACGTCCTTGGACAATAATGATCCTAACGTAAGCAGGACTGCACAAATTTTTTTGATTACCTCAAGGAAAGGAAAGCCTTTCCTTAAGGAAACAAGTTGACTTTTTTGAAGCTCTAATAATTCTAAATTACCCCCAAAAATTAAAAAAAACCTCTAAAAGATTCAAATTTGATTCATCGTGAAATAAATGAATATTAATCAAATCAAAAATTCTTTCATCAAATTTCCATCGAGTATGTAAAAATCCTTTTCTTCCAAACCGAAAAGACGGCCAAAAATCCCTAGAAAATTTTTCTTTTCTAACAAATCCAGAACGATTTAATCCAGAAGTTAGAATTAATTGAGAATATTTTGAGTCAACAATTGGAATAAATTTGCGTTGTTTAAAATTGAATTGTTGGACAAGTTTAACAGCAGATTCATGGATGAAGAAAAGAGAAGAGAGAGCCTAAAAATGGAAAAATTTGTAAAAATAAATTTTTGCGGACTTTCTGCAAAATTGATAGCTTTTGTGGACAAATATTTTTAAAAATGATAAGAAACATTAAAAGGTCAAAAATGTTCTCTCAAATTCAGGCCCGCAACCAGGGAGGGGGTAGGAGCCCCAATAAGTTCAAAAAATTTCTCAGGTAACACTGTCATTTATTCGGAACATCTTTTCAATTTCTCTCTATTTATTTTAGCATAAAATCGACCAAATGAAAGAACCTATGACATTTAAGTACCCAGCTCTGATTTTAGAAGTAAAACGACGGTAAATTTTACCAGTTAAAAAAAAGCAAACCGTAAATTCCTCAATAAGTTCACATTGAATATCAAGAAAACACCTCGAAACAACATAACCTTCAGAAGCCAATCGTTTTTGTAATTCATCAACAAGTACCGGCATTTCTTTAGCATTTAATTTGTAATTCTTCCCCCCACTCTCTTGAAGGTGTAAAGCAACAAAAGAAGGAAAATTCAAAATTATTTCTTTTGTTATTTGACTTAGCCAATATTTGCGGCATCCTCCTTTCTAAAAAAGAATTTTCTCTAAATTAATCTTTAAAAGGACTCTTACATTTTCAAAGAGTGAACCAACATTTGAAGTAAGAAGTAGAATTTTGTGTTGAATCATTTAAAAAATTTGTCAAATTTTAGAGAAGGATGCCTGAGGGCTTTTTTAATGAAGGGAAATTTTGGCAAGTTCACGTGCCTCTAAATGGTGGGATTAAATGTCATTTTTAATTTTGTTGGCATTCTGTATTTTAGAAAAAAATTTAAATTTGAGGGGTTTAAAGAATTTTATTAAGGTTTAAGTATTTAATGTGTTTGAAGTAACGTATCGCCTATAATAATTCAGATGATTGTTCATATCATAGTTCAATCATTTCATTTTTCTACTTATTTTATTCTAGAAGTAACTTTAGATGAAGTTTAGGACAAATAGAGATTAAGGATGTAGTACTCTCGGCACTGATCTCTAAAATGATTCATACTAGTGTTATTCACGAGACGATATATCGACGATATTTTTCGAGATATCGCGAGATTTTTTCGAGATTATCGATCTCGATCTCATCTCGAACAATTTTTGAAAAAATCGAGATTTTTCGATATCGAGATTTTTCGAGATTATCGATCTCGATCTCGTATCGGTCAAGTCAGAAATATCGCGAGATTTTTCGATATTTTTAAAAAAGACTTTTCGTGACGCAAAAATGAAGAATTCTGGCCTGCGGCGCAAAAAATGAAGAATTCTGGCTTAAGGAACTCCAAAATTCTCGAAATTTTTGCCTGCGGCGCTGAAAAAGTGAATTTTTTGGCCTACGGTCTTCGAAATTTTAAAAATTTTCGCCTGCGGCGCTGAAAATGGAAGAAATCTGACTTCATGTGCTCCAAAATTCACAAAATGTTCGCCTGCGGCGCTGCAAACGGAGAAATTTGGAGGTATTATCGGAGGTAAAGTGGATGGATTAGTATATAGTGGGATTTTATCAAGGGACCTAGTGATTAATCCACCGATATCCCTCTAAATCTATTAGATTTTTACAAAGTTAATATTATTTACATATAAATTGCAGTATTTTGATGGACTTTATTTATAAAAAGTTTAAATTTTTTATTTTGAAAAAAATCCCGAATCCCGGGCGGGGATTCGGGATTCCCTCGGGATCCCGTCACGGCCTCGGTTAAGAAAAAAATCCCGACTCGGGATCCCGAAAGTGCGATTTTGCCGACCTCTAATAGTTATATCTACATTTAAAAGTAATAGTAAAATTTTATTTTATTGTTTTGATTAATACCAAAAATGAAAACATTGAAAAATTTGTGCAGATTAGAGGACATGGTCAGTAAAACTTTTTGAAAATTTTAAAATAAAGTTCAGGTGATGATTGAAATAAATTTTTATTCAATTCTAAGGGATTATAAAAAATATCGAAATATCGCGATAATCTCGAAAATTTTGGACCGAGATTTTTCGATATCGAGATTTTTCGAGATTATCGATCTCGATCTCAGTAGTTAGTCCGGCGTATATGTCGCGGGGGGCAGCGGGGTCCAATCATTTAGCCCCTCCCACATATTTAAACGGTATTTAAAATACATACATTCCGTCGTCAAAGGTCCAAGAAGTTTTCAAAAGGTTTAAAGCGTACTTTGATCAAACCGGTTTGGTGTGAACTTTTTAAAGAAAAACACATTGTCAAACCATTCTCCATATTTGTCACAAGATTACATATACAAAAGTTAAAAATTATTCCTAAAGGTTTAAGGGTTCAAGAAGTAGTTTTAAACCGGTTTAATCGGTTCAAAACACGATTTCCCATATTGTTTACAAGATTACAATTAAGCACAATTTACTATGATTTGATCTGCTTGAATTGTGGCTGGGTGCAAAACTGTTTTTTAATTACACCTTGAAACCTTATTCTCTTCCTCAAAACCCTTTCTATTTGAAAAATTTTTTCAATATTCCTGACCCCTTCAATACTTTTTCCCATTCTTTTTATTGAAATTGCAACAAAAAGTGAAAATAGATAATTATGAAATAATATAATTAGAAATATTTATAAAAAGTAGGCGTTGAAAAGTGAAAATTTGTAGAAATCAGTCATGCAATAATTGTTGCAAAAATAGGTCAAAAAATAGGTCATGCACGAGAAAAATTTGTAAATTATTGTTGAAAAGTGAAAATTGGGTAAATTTTATAAAAGTAGGTAAAAATAATGATAAAAATATCAAAAAATACGTCATGTGAAAATTGTTTCAAAAATTATTAAAAAGTAGGCGTGGAAAAGTGAAAATAAATAAAAATTTGACAAAAAAATAAATATATATTTAAATCAAAGTTTTTAGGATTTTTTTTCATTCCTAAAATAATTTAAAATTTCTGGATTTTTATTCAACTACTGATTATTATAATACTATGTCTCCTCCACCATCAAAGAGATCAAGAAGTTTCATGATCAACAATCTTCTTGATCTGCAGCTTGGCGGCGGTGATTTTTTACAACATTTGGGTGAAGAAATTAAAATCACCCGGAAATTTAACCTTACCAAACTGTCTACAAAGTTTTTAATATCTGGTTTGCCCGATGAACCAGAAGGATTACTAAAGGAAATTTTTCAAAAATGTATTGACCAGACCCTAGAAACGAGCCATGATCACCAACTTGATCCAGATCAACTTGGTTGTACAGTGAGCAGTCAGTTGTTGGAAACTGACATTTGGATTCCAATCAGGGACATCAATAACAACACTGTAGACGCCATAATTAATCAATTCCTCAAGGTGGCGCAATCAAAGAAGCAAGATAATGGCATGCTTTGGGGAGAGCCATTTAACGTTTCAGTTACAGCAATTGATAAAAAGAATCTTCAAACTACACGTACTATTCAAGGAAGTGGCAAAGATTTGACTACAATTAAACAACATAACCTTATTAAAATTATTAATTCTGACAACTATTGCTTATTTCGTTCACTATCTGCCACCTTCGTATTTTCAACCTGTGCCTGGCCGAGATGGAAATTTTATAACTACATACACAATAGGTATGGGATGATTCATCAACTCGAGAAGGATGCTAATGAACTGATGGCAAATGTGAGTGCTCCTTCTGGTCTTACTACCTATGATGCAATGCAATGGGTGCCCAAAGTGGTTGACTACTGGAATTCCTTGAATAAAGGTGGATTTAAAGTTTTTATCTTTGGAGAACTGGGGGAGAAACCTATTTTTAAATATGGGCTTGAAAATTATAATATACCAATTCTTCTTTTTCATAATAAAAATCATTTTGATGGGATTAGAAAAGCAAGTGATTTATTTGGAAAGCCTTATTGTCTAACTTGTGAAAAGGTATACCACCGACAGAACGACCATGCTACTTCATGCAAAGCAAAATGCCCAAATTGCTCCAGAATTGGTCCCGACTACCCATGTCAACAAATTAACTACTTCAAACATTGCTCTGGTTGTGATAAAGAATTTTACAACGAGAACTGCTACGACTACCATCTCAATTCTAATTTCTGCAACAACTCCAAAAAATGTGAAAAGTGTGGAGTGATATGGAGTGTGAAAGTCAACACCAAAAACGGACGTTCTGGACATGTGTGCTCAGAACGGTATTGCAACACATGCTTTAGCTACCACGACCCTAAAAGAGGTTGCTTCATCAAACCTCTTACTCTAAAGAAGTCAAAACCCTATCGGATCATAGCTTTTGACTTCGAAACCATGCAGCACAAACAAGGAGAAAAGGGAAAACTACACGAAGTTAATTTTATTTCTGCTAAGATCATTTGCCCCGATTGTATTGCTAATAGTCAGAACAACAACTGTAAAAATTGTGGAGAAGATAAGACAATTACATTCTCCCATCAACCCTTTTCCAAAACACACGTGGATCAGCAGAACATTACCAATGATCCTCTGACTGATTTTGCAAATTGGATCACCAATACTTCAACGGATACAGTAGCCTTCTCGCATTTTGGAGGAAGGTTTGATATGGTCCTTCTCTTCAAAGCGTTATTTCTTCTTGGTTTAACTCCTGATATGATTAAAAAAGGAAACAAAATGTATGAAATGAAGGTGAAGAATAAAAATAAATGTTGGATAATCTTCAGAGACACATACAACCTAATGCCAATGCCTCTGGCATCTCTTGTACCTGCGTTTGGACTGCAAGTGGAAGATAAACCTTTCTTCCCCCACCTGGCCAACAACCCGAAGAATTATGGGAAAGAAATATACCCAGCAAAAGAAGACTACCTTTGCAATGGGATGATGCCTGAGAAAAGGGCCCAATTTGATAAATGGTTCAATCAACACAAAGAACAACCCTTCAAACTGGATGAACAACTAGCATCCTACTGCACAAATGATGTGGATATTTTAATGTCTGCACTAATCTCCTTCAGAAAAGAATTTTTAGATGTCTCCAATGGTTTGGATGTGCTGAGGGAGTCCATGACTATTGCTTCAGCTTGCATGAAGCACTTCCGACTGAATCATCTCAAAGTTCAGCATGTTGGGATTGTACCAGAAAAAGGATACGACAACGTCGACAACCAAAGTTTATTGGCACTCCGGTTCCTTAAATGGTATTCTGAAACTAACAACATTACTATTCGAACAGCACACTCGAAGAATGGTGAAAAGAAAATTGGTAATTATAAATTGGATGGGTGGATAAAAGAGAAGAAGCTGGCTATTGAAGTCAATGGGTGCTGCTGGCACGGCTGCATCAAATGTTATCCGGAAGATGACATTAAACTTCCTACTGGTCTTACTGCAGGTCAACAAAGAGTTAAGGATCAACAACGTTTAAACTTTATCAAGAATTTGGGAGTAAATGTTGACGTCTATTGGGAGTGCGAAATTAGGAAAATGGTCTCCAAAGATTTTGAAATGAGAAGAATGTTTAAAAATTATTTGGATGATGGCCCGATCAACATTAGGTCGGCATTCTATGGGGGAAGAACAGGCCCCTTAAAGCTTTTCCATTGTGCACAGCAAGGAGAAAAGATCTCCTACTACGACGTGACTTCTTTGTACCCCTTTATTAATGTTTCAACAAGGTACCCTGTTGGACATCCTGAAGTACACGTCATCAACAAAGATGT